GTACCATAGCCTACAGCCAGATTAACTTGTGACACACACAGTAGCGGTTTTTGATACGGGCGGTTGCCTGTATCAAAAAATCGTGGTGGGGATTAGTTGTCTTTGCTTAATGATTGGTTTTAGTCTTGACAATCCTCATTGCTGGCATTGCATCTTTCAATGCCAGCAATGCCAGGTATCGGTGCTCAAGCCTTTTCTGTTTGTTTCCAATAAGTTGCCCACCTCGGGAAACAAATGTGTTCTTTTACTTGTCAGGTGAACATATGAGACACTTTGACTCTTCAGTGCAGTGTGGAGCCTAACAAAGATCTGTTTTGTGTCCCAGCTGATCAGCAGGAGAAGAGTCTGACGGAGCAGCAGAGGAACATTTTCAGTTACTTGGACTCAGCTCAGCCACTACAGAGAAAACAATGAGCTCAACACAGAAGGTGACAGACAGAGCTGGGTGATATGACCAAAAATATTTATCACGATATACATTTGAAAATTTGCGATAACGATGTAGCTGATGATATAATTGACACTAGACAAAATACTTTACAACTCCACAAAAAACACGGTAATAACGACGGCCTGCTAGCATGTCCTACCACAAATAGAGTTTGTTGTGTATCTGATGGACGAAAGCTAAACCAGTTCCACACCACTGAAGTTGCAGCATTTTTACAAACCAATTCTGGTTCATCTGTTTCATTCAACGATCCGCTTTCACCCTTCTCATTCTCCGTCGCCGCCATGTTTTTTCCTCCATGTGCGTGTGAAAACAAAAGCACTGCGCATGTGCGTTTTACCCATATTCTATCGTGATATTTCATTTTCTTATCGTTGCCCAACATTATACCGGTATGATATAGCCCAGCCCTACATGAAAGGCACCCTGATTGTGCACTAATCACACATAATGCAAAAGAGGCAAAACTGTGTGCCAGAGTCTCGGGTCAGTGTTTGTTTTCATGTCACAGCACCAGAACGATTGCAGGCGCTCATAAGTAGTTACCATAAATCACCACCTTTCATGGTCTCAGCACATCGACTCTGTTATTAAGAAAATGGGACAAGGCATAGTTATGGCTATGAAATGCTCTTTGTGTATCACTTCTTCAATTATGAAAGATGTCATTAATGCACTAGTAATGTCTCATCTGGAGTATTGTTCAATCATTTGGTCAGCAGCTAATAAGACAGATCTTAACAGACTTCAGTTAGTCCAGAATAAGGCGTCCAGATTAGTGTTAAGATGTTCATACTATACTAATATTGATAAAATGCATAATCAACTTTCTTGGCTTCCTGTACAGGCTAAAATATTCTATGGCTTACTTGTAGTTATAAAGAAAGCGATTCTGTTAAACATACCACATTGAACACCACGCAACATGGAAGCTAATGGGGTTCCTTTTGAATAAACAAACATAAGATTTATTATCACTGAATAATTCTGTATAAATCTATACAAATTATAGAAATATGTAATAGGAAACAACAAAATAATCTAAATTATAAAATAGTGTGTGTGTGTGTGTGTGTGTGTGTGTGTGTGTGTGTGTGTGTGTGTGTGTACAATCAGGAGGGATGGGCATGATTTTAGTGTTTGAACAGTCATGAATTATCTTTAACAGCAGGTTGGATGTAATGTGTTAGAACTACCAGCAGGTGGGGATAAGAGACCTTTAAGGTGTTTGGTGCCACACTCCACCTTCAGGTTTAAAACTAGTGTTAATGGAGGGAGTTTGAAGGTTGAGTTTGTTCCACGACTGCATTTCACTCACTGCCTCTGTTTGTATCTCTGTCACTGCAGGACCAACATGGAGCGAGAAGTCAGCGCTCTCAGGAGGCCGACAAACCTCACAGAAGAAAGGGAGAGAAAAAACACACCTGTGACGAGTGTGGGATGGGTTTTACTGTGAAGGCTTCACTAAAACAGCATCAGGTCATCCACACTGGAGAGAGACCGTTCAGCTGTGACTTGTGTGGAAAGTCTTTTTCCTGGAAGGGTTCCCTAAAAACACACCAACTCATCCACAGTGGAGTTAAAGCGTACAGCTGTGATCAGTGTGGCAGAGCTTTTACTCACAGTTGGAACTTACAGAAGCATCTACTTACCCACTCTGGAATTAAGGCATACAGCTGTGACGAGTGTGGGAAGGAGTTTGCTAGGAAGGCTTCACTAAAACAGCATCAGGTCATCCACACTGGAGAGAGACCGTTCAGCTGTGACTTGTGTGGAAAGTCTTTTTCCTGGAAGCGTTCCCTAAAAAGACACCAACTCATCCACAGTGGAGTTAAAGCGTACAGCTGTGATCAGTGTGGCAGAGCTTTTACTCACATAGCTACTTACAGAATCATCTAGTTACCCACTCTGGAATTAAGGCATACAGCTGTGACATCTGTGGAAAGACTTTCAGCCAGAGAGGGTTCCTAAATAGACACCTACGCATTCACACGAGACATGATGTGTACTGCTGTGAACAGTGTGGCAAAGAGTTTATAACAGACACACAGTTAAAACGACACATGTTTATCCACACTGAGGAGAGACCTTATAAATGTGACCTGTGTGAGAAGACTTTTAAAGCTCCACATTACCTGAGAGAACACCAACAGATCCACACCAGAAAGAGACTCAACAAGTGCAGTTACTGTGAGGTATGTATTTATATTGTTATCTTGTCATTTTAGCCTGACTGTTTGGAACAACTCTGCTCATTAAACTGTGTTAGCATGTTAGCAATTCTACTGCATGGAAAAGCAGCTCTGAGTGATTATTCAGATTTTCATGTCAGTTATGATTTTAGTATTACTGTAGTATTATGGTGGTAGTATTGTAGTTATTGCAGCCCAGTAAACTGAGTGTGTTAACTGAAACAGTCAAATGTAATTGGACGTCTGCAGAGATGCTCTTTATTTCAGGCGACGTTCAGGATAAAAATGTTGAAGGACTGACTTACACTGTCTTTGTGTCTTTGTTTAGAAGCAGAGCGACACAGATGGATCCAGTTCTCAACCCTGTCATCACTGTGGTGGTGGGAAAGACTTTCATTGTGACCTTTGTGGAAAAACTTTCAGTCAGCAAAACACCCTAAAAAGACATCAACGTAGACACACTGGAGACAAACTGAAATACTGCAAAGAATGTGGGAGAAGCTTCACCACACCAAGTGAGTTAAAAACACATGAACTGATTCACAGTGGGGTTAAAAAGCACCTCTGTGATCAGTGTGGGTCATCCTTCACCACTGCATATAAGCTTAAAAGACACAAACGAGTCCACACAGGAGAGAAACCATACAAGTGCAGACACTGTGACAGAAGCAAAGCTTCTCAGATTCAGGTAATCGTAACTATCATGAACGTACACACATGGAAGGAAACTACAGCTGTGACCAGTGTGACAAGAGCTTCAGGAATCTCAGTTCATACTCCACACACAAACGATCCCACGTTACTAATAAACTGTTTCACTGTTACCAATGTGCCCAAACATTCACCTCATTGTCTGCTCTGTGCAAACATCAGCGTGATCACTCAGGGCTGAAATCACTCCCATCACTGGATCACAGTGAATCTGAAGAGACAGAAAGATCCTCTGGTTTCAGTGTCAGACTCAAAAAGCTTGAGATCAGGCTCCACAGAGTTCAGATAGAATCATTTAAACTTGTGTTGAACTGAACTGGTTGCTGGGCTGAACTTCTACATAATACAGATTTACATGGGATCTTATTTTCTGTCGTTTTACTGAGTCAGTTTTGTCCTTTTTTCTCTGTCCTGGTTTTGCTCGTCTGTAAATAATTGAAACTCAGTCAAATAGTTCATTGTTCTCCAGCAAAACGTTTTGGAAACTCATGTTTAACCTTTAAAACTCTGACATGTTTTAGCACACAAGGCTTCATCGGGGAGTTCACTCATGATTGGACCATGAGAATAAAGGTTTTTAGTTCTTTCAAAGAGAGTCTTGGAGGTGTTTGATGTTTCTGTTTTTTCTGAAACCACCTGAAAGAAAAACTATTTTTCTTGCTTTATGTAGTGTGGAAGTTTTTAATGTTTCTTCATCTAGTGATGTTCTTGAATGTGTTCACATGAAGATGGTACAAATAAACTGTCCTTTTAGCTTCAGCTCCTAATTTATTCATTATTTGTGGATGATCGGCTTTTCTCTCTTGTTTATTTATCGCGCTAAACAACAGCAGCACGTTTTAGCTAGATCAGCTGTTGTTAGAATTCATTTGATTTTAATTTCTAGTATCAGCTGATTTTTGCTGGATCCACAGCTTTAAAAACGGCTGGTCCAAACCAGGAGATGTCCTTACTGAATCATCAGAGCTGAACTGGTGATGGAGAAACAGGTTTACCTTTTAGGTGACATGAAGGAGTTGAAGGGAAGTTATGAACTGTTTCTGAGAGACGAATAACACCAAGCTCCTTTTCTGTGTAGCTGACAGCTGGTAACTGTGCAGGGGCGGATCTAGCAAAGCTTTTGCCAGGGGGCCAGGTGGGGCATTAACAGGGAAATGGGGGCACAAAGATATACTTTTCTTTCTTACTCTCATATAAAATATTTAGCTTTTATTAAATAGTTATCTGAATCTTACAACCAAAGTTTTTATAATAATACACAAGATTGGCTGTAGACCATTGTTAATCATTCAGAACACTGTGTAAAAATAAAAAGTGAATGCAAAAGTGCATAAATATTTATTTTACATGTTTGATGTGTGTTGCGGGGCGTGGTCTGCAGTGCTGCTGCAGGGGAGGTGGACCTACGGGCGTAAAGTCTGTGCTCTCTCGGCTGTTTTTTGGGTGTGTGTTGGGCTGTTAGTTGAAAAGCTACAACCGGCTGTGTGGGTACACCAACCATGTGTGAAAAGTGGTCCATAACGTAATGCTTCAAAGCGTGTTCATGCAAACATTGTCGGGTCTGCTGTGGTACAATGGGACTTCTGCTCATGAACCTCTGCGCACAGCGTCTGCAAATCAGGGCTGTACGAAGTCACCTCATCTTTACACAAAACTGTAAGCTGTTATCTGTGAGGCGCGAGCGGTGTTTGTTTTTACCATAGTTCATGGTGGAGAATGGCTGCTCTGCTGAGTTTTGCTCTCTGTAGCCGTATGAATGGCAAACTACACTGATTAGCAGCGGCATAGGCACACTTAAAATTTCTTCTGAAATTTTCGCTTTCTAGTTTTTAGTTGTTCTGCTGCCTAAATACCACAGGGTGTAATTATGAAGTTATTGAGCTGCACATACTTTACGACCTGCTTAAGTTCGAGGTCACAGCGTCTGTAAGAATTGAACAGAAACCTCTGTCCTTCTGAAAATCACCCAAAGGCACAGAGACAAACTCAAAGGATGCAACCTGTAACTTTCTCTTCCTTCATGTCAGTACCATTATCGATTATTTATATTAAATGCATATAGCAACAGTAACACTTTAATTTGGATTTCATGATTTCTGTAACTGGAAACTATTTTGTTTAAAGACAGAAGTGACTGCATAGTTGCAACATTGAAGTGAAATATTTAATAGTCTAACAACAGCTTAAATGCTGTGTTGAAGCTGTCATTTCAGGAGGAGAGAAGCTGCAGAGAGGCGTGTAAGACTGCAACTCTGCTTCCTGGTCCCAGCTCTGGATAGTTATATTTTAGGGGGTTTAATAAATGTGTCCATATTTCTAGAAATGAGATCTGCTCCATCCAAAGTGGGATGGATGCCGTCTCTCCTAACAAGACCAGGTTTCCTCCAGAAGGTTTGCCAATTATCTATGAAGCCCACATCGTTTCTTGGACACCACTCAGACAGCCAGCAACTTAAGGAGAAGAGACAATACAGCGTGTTTCTCTGCTCCCGTTAAGCATGTCTGTTGTAGCCTGCGCTTTATAATTGTCTCTTTGATTATTCAAACAGTGTTTAAAATGTGACTTGTTTGTTATCCAAAAACATTTTATCTATGTTACTGATTTAAAATTATATGTATATATTTCAAGTTTCTTAGCTCAAACAGACTCTTGAGCATATTCATATAGCAAATCCACATAACCAGTCTGCACCAGTAAACACAGAAGTACATCCAATCTTGACTAAATTTCTTGTTTATCTAACTTCATTCACATTGCACGCACAAGAATCCAAATCTCTGTATCACAATGATTTCGTTAAAGACTTATTATTTTATGGGGGCAATATCACAATTTATCGTAGATCATTAATAGGGAACAAAAAAGAAGGATCACATCGGCAATGTTGCTGGGAGACAGAAGTCTTGACACGTGCTTATAACTTAAAACACAAAAAACTCAGTTACAGCTGGTAAAATTTATGATATATACCAGACTTTCACAGTCTGCATCTTTACAGGGTTTTTTTTCTGCTTTTGTTCACTCCTAGTGTGATTAAAAAAACAACAAACACAGAGCCCACTAACTATTAGCCGCTTTCCCCCCCTAAACAGTTAGTTGACTGAGAGACATGCAATCCATTATTGTGAACGCTGAAGGAGATGTGCTCCATAGTCAAACTTATATTTCCGTAAATTACATCCAATGTTCTGTTTAATTCCGGCATTCCTTTATGGTTTGGTGGAAAATTGGTTAAACCATTGCTCAACTTATGTGTGAATGACAGCAGATAATTTTGATGAAACTGACCCCGTAAGTACATTGCAGCTGAGTCGAGGGCTCGTGGAAATAAGGTCAGGAGATGTCTGGTGTGACTGCACGTGTGGTCTGTCCATTTGGGACGTCTGACAGACACATTAGTGCAACTCAGAGTGTGAGCAGCAACTCCTGTATACTAAACATAAGAAAAGTAATTTGTAGTGCTTCTTTTTTTAAACCGAGATTCCAGGTGTTATGGTACGGACTAATTCAATGGTTCATGCAGCACCCTCTGGTGGTTGTGTCGTGTGTGTTTGTTGTTGCATCTTGGCAATAAACGAAGTCGCCATGTTAAGACAGAGCTGTCTCAGTCTCGTTAATGTTGCTGCTATCATCACCCGGTAATCTACCAAAAGATGGTGTCAGAAGTAATCAGGAGAGAAGAAGAACGTCACGATAACGAAAGCTTTCTCACCGGAGAGAACCTGCCCTGCAAGTTTGCATTAACAGCCACAGTAAGAGCTAAGCTAACAAATTAGCAAACGCTAAATAGCATCTCGCGACTAGCAGCATGGCAGCTGCGCCGGCAGCCTTCCAAGTATCACCGCCACCGAAGTTCGACTTTTCAAACCAGAAGAGTGGCCGAAATGGATCCGACGCTTTGAGAGGTTCAGGATAGCATCTGGACTCGAGCTACAATCGGACGAAAACCAGGTTATCACTCTGATATATACAATGGGCGATGAAGCTGAAGACGTGATCACTTCGTTGAACCTGACCGAAGAGGAGGTGAGTACCACACTCTCAAAGACAAACTTGAGGCACACTTTGTAGTCAGAAGAAATGTTATTTTTGAATGTGCAAAGTTCAACCAAAGACAGCAAGAAGCAGGAGAGACTGCAGACGGGTTTATTACATCGCTATATGCCTTGGCTGAGCATTGTGGCTACGGGGCGCTGCACAGTGAAATGATAACAGACAGACTCGTTGTTGGAATAAGAGACAAGAGGCTCTCGAAGCAACTGCAAATGGACGCGGAGCTCACGTTAGAAAAAGCAGTGATACGGATTCGCCAAAGTGAGCTTGTTAAGAAGCAGCAGGATCTTCTTAAAAACAACTTCAAGCAGGAAAATCCTTGTAATGTGGACGTCATTAAAGAAAAAGTAAAACACTACAAACCAAGAAAGACTGTGCCACAAAACACAGAGAGGAATGTGAAAAGCCAATGCAACCGATGTGGAAAGACACCCTTTCACAGCAAGAACCTGTGCCCAGCCAAAGAGGTACTCTGCAATCAGTGTAAAAAGAAAGGTCACTATGCAAGAGTGTGCAGGTCTGGGGCAGTGGGAGAAATACGTGCAGCAGGTGGTGACAGTGAAGAAAGGGAGGTAGCATTTTTGGGAACAGTAGCTTCAGAGAGAAATGAGGATGCGTGGTTGACTAAAATAAAAGTTAACAATGTGGACTGCTGGCTCAAAATTGACACAGGAGCGGACGTAACCGTCTTGCCTGAAAAGCACAAAAACCACAGCTGCAACCCACAGATCTGAAACTGTATGGGGCGGGAATGTCTCCACTAGCAGTTAGAGGGAAATTTACTGTTAACCTGAGCACTCCAAGAAAAACTACAGTACAGCCTGTGTATGAAGTAGCAGACCTGACGCAAGGGTTACTTAGCCTCCAAGCAAGTGTAGCACTTGCGTTAGTGGCCAGAGTAGAAGCAGTGTCACTCACTTCGGTAGAGGCAGTAAAGCAGCAGTTTCCAAAACTATTCAGCGGGTTAGGCCGAATGGAGGGGGAATACAAAACTGAGCTTAAAGCATATGCTTAGCCATTTGCCCTGTCAACCCCAAGAAGGGTCCTGCTTCCCCTGTTGCCCAAAGTCAAAAGAGAGCTTCCTCGTATGGAAGACTTAGGGGTAATCTCCAGAGCAGAGCAGCCTACTGACTGGTGTGCAGGAATAGTTCCAGTACCTAAACCAAACAAAGATGAAGTGCGTGTGTGCGTGGACTTGACCAAACTGAAATATTCTGTGAAAAGAGAAAGACACATGTTGCCATCAGTTGAGTACACCCTAGGACAGCTAGAGGGCCCAAAGTTGTTCTCAAAACTCGATGCTAACTCAGGATTTTGGCAAATACCTTTGTCCAAGCATTCAGCTCTCCTCACAACCTTCATCACACCATTCGGAAGGTACTGTTTCATTAGACTCTGTTTCGGCATATCCTCAGCACCTGAGCATTTTCAAAAACAAATGTCTCAGCTTTTGGAGGGGCTGGACGGAGTTGTCTGCCAAATGGATGACATTCTGGTTTATGCTGACACAGGCCCAGCACGACAAGAGACTGGTCGCAGTC